GGAAGGATGAATGAAAAGAAGGATGAATACTAGAGTAGAAGATTTCTCTAAATCTATTATTGCAACATTAGACATTATTTAGGTATTAGGAACTCATATTTTAGATAAACCAAAAGACACAAATACTTACTCCCTGCAGTTGAAAGATTGACAAAGAGAGATTGAAACAGATTCATTTCAATGAATGGTCACAGCCTTGAGTGAGGACCATTTCATTATCTGAAGAATTTGACACTTGCATACTTTCCTTAACTACAACTAACCATCACTTACTCATTTATTAAGGAATTCATTTATTAAGTAAGACACTGTGTTAAGGGACAGAGAGAATGCTAAAGCATAAATTTTATTTCCAATGGCCTTCCATCTGGTGAGGAAGGTGATCTATGCACAACTATAATAAACAGCAATACAAAGATAGATTTTAGGTAGCAGCTAGCTGGAATATTTAGCAAGGAGCACGACGATGATTGTTGGCTGGGGTGGTGAGAAAAAGCTTTAAAAGTAGGAAAATCTTGAGCTGGCCTTGTTAGATTAAAGAACAAAAGGCCAGGCCAAGATGGAAGTTGCATAGATTGACTATCTTTATTGATTTGGGGACCCATGTAGAAAAAAAGCAATTCATCTATATCTCAAATCCACTCTTCATATTTACCCAGGAATAAATAGAAATTTAATGCCAGAATGAATAAAGTCTAAGGAACTCCCCTCTTCCTGTCCTTAGGTATGTCAGAATGGGTTTTATGCAAGTATATTCTGTTTCTAAAACTGTTAGAGTGATTGCAAAATCTTGAAGAACTTAGAAACCTACTTGTTTCATTAATTATACAAAATAAGTATTTTGAAGAGATAACCATATAAATCATACAGTATTGCTCCACAGATATATACAGCATCACTTTTCACTGGTGTAAGCAAATAAATTAAAATCTTGCTTATAGTTTCGGCAACAATTTAATTTTTCTGAACATAGCTCTTATTCTATTATAATGCTTGAATGATTCACATGCAGTATTTCCAATCTGCTTTTCCTGCCTTGTGAAACTTTTTAACGAAATGTTAGCAGTTGCAGGCACCAGATGTTTTGACATAAGGAGAAGCAATATGTAAATTTTAATCCATGCTAGGAACAACAGCCCGCAGGCACCTTTTTCTTATTGCATGAATCATATACTTAACCACAATGTGGTCAGTTCTATCAAAATCATCACCATCTACAACGCTGTCCTCTTGTCTTAGGGGTGCCAATTAGTGAAGCTGATATATATTTTACATGATGGGTATCTATTACTTACCCAATAAGCTTTGTTGTATTTTACCACTTCACCACCCCATAGCTGGAACTCTGCAGGGGATCATAATAATACTGACAACAACCTTTTAGGTGGGTTTTAATATACCTTTTGGTGGTCAATAAAAACAATGCTTGTATTATATCTAAAGAGTTTATAGCTGCATAACATCACTATTTGAACAAAATTAGTAAAACCTATTATAGTTTTCTTCAACTTTTCCTTCCTTTGGACTCAGAGTAAGATGTGTGTGAATGTGTTTCTAATAAGAGAGATCTGGGGATAGCTTCAAACGTCGCCTCATAAAGTTCCGGTAAAGGTTGTACATTCCAATAAAGAATACATAGAGCTCTCTTTAATATCAAGAGTTTAGAGAACTTTTTTATAAGCTCCCACACTGGCCCACATGTATTTAAGCCCAAAGGCACCACACATGTACAGACATACACAGTAAACAATCAAGTATAAAATCCATTCAGTCATCCATCTTTATAGTCTATATAGTGACAAAAAGTCATTCTGACTTATTTTTTCCTGTATTAGATTGCTTATTTCTTTCCACACAGAAATTACTGTATTGATCAGCATTTTATGGCATATTGTATATGGTATAAATTTTTTAAAAGAGCAATGAACTTATGTCTTTTATAGTTAACCCAGAGCCATCCTGTTTTATTATTTTTGAAGCAGGTATGTAGAAAAGAATTCATAAACATGGTATTAAATATTAGAATATCTTAACATTTAACTGAAATCCTTATTAATTACATTACCAAGGGATAGGTCTAGTCAATTAATAGGTTTAAAATGTTTTACATATTAAAACACAGTAGTCTATTTATCCTAGATTGTCTGGGGACCATGTAGTATATTAAAATTTTTGCAGAGTTTCTTAGTGAGTTCAATGCTACAGTTCTGCCTGTGGGCAGTTTTGCAACATTTTGATAAATATTTTCCATGAATCAGAAAAACCCCACAATATCATGGAAAAGCAGATGGTAGGAGACTGAAGAATTTTCATTAATCATTAATCATTGTTTTCAGCATGGATTATATAGTGAGCAGTTGTCAATTGTTAAGTCTAGTGGCCGTTAAGTATAGTTTCGGACAATTAACCCATGTTCTGTATTTTCCAATACAGTTTATATACAAAACAGAACAAAACATATATTAAAGCACTTAATAATTCCATGCTTTCATTTAATATATGCAGAGAAAATATTAGTACAATTTTTAAGAGTGTGCATATATTCATGTATGTATTAAAGTATACTAGTGTTCTTCATTTTCTTAGAAAGCAAGACACATTACTTTGTTATTAAAAATGAAAAATAGCAATAATTACAAATTCTACAGTCTTATCACACTAACAATGTTCTCTGGATCTAACCAATGTTAGAATAGAATTACAGGAATGTTACTTCAACTATTCATATATATAAAACAGTACTAAAGTTAAGATTTTTAACTACATTGTTATTATTAAGATTAAATAACTGAACTAATTTTAGCCTTGTATGTCATAAGCAATTGCAATGCTGTTAGATAAGATTCTTGAATTTAGTTAGCTTTTAAACTTTAGTAATTATGTATTAAAGAAGAATATGTAACTTTCTTATTGTATGTAATTCAGCAAGATAATAATCTCCCTTTTCTTTTACATATTTTCTATATTTTATCTGTTATATGTAACCACCAGCTTTAAATAACACATAAAACTTATTTCTGTGGAAAAATCAAAGTTGAAAATACAGATTTTAAAAAATAAAATGGTATGACAGGAATGGGAGAAGTAGCATTTCAAACAGAAAAGTCTTTAACTTTATTCGTGGAGTCTTTTGGACAAATGTAGGAAAAAGACATTTTACTGAAGATTTCAGCAGTAGAAAACACAATAGAAATCATTTGGATATGTAGAAATACACACACAAATCCCTTTTACAAGAAGATAAAAAGTTCCCTTTTATATATAAAGTAGCAGATAATACTATTTCATCATTGAATTGTTTGAATCCAGTAGGAGTTTTCATTTAATCAAAATAACTATTTTCTGATAATCTCCTATGTACTCAAATTCCCTGTGAACCCCACAGGAAAAAACAGTGTAGCACAGAAAAATTCTAAGAAAACTATTTTCATATATTTTAACTATTTTTATGTTTTTGAATAACTTCTTTGTTTACAAATAAAAAATCATACAAATGATAAAATATTGTTATATGCAATGAATAATGATTATAGGAAGGTGATGTGACACATTAGATCAGCAACACAATGTGTATAGTATTTCTTAAGTAAATGTAATGAAATCTCTGTATATGTAACTTACACGAACTCAAATTGACATCTTATACTTATCAACATGCAGGGCGCTGGGCAGGCAAAAGATGTAATTGTATACATGTAGCACGTATAGGCTGAGGCATTATCAGTACTCAGGCAAACAGAATTCAATCCTTCAGGTATTTTCAAGAAACCCAGATGTTTGATCTAGTGCTGATAACACAGGAAAATGGCTAATTGATTCCAGTTTTCATCTAAATCATATATCAGGTCATTAAATATCAGCCTAGAAATACTATAAAAACATTGAAACACTTATTTATTTATATAAATATCAAAAGTCCACAGTATCAGAACAGTAAAAAAATATTTTCATGATACCTTGAATTAAGAGAAAATCCCAATATGACTCAATCTATCAAAACAAAGAAAAAATATATTCTTTTTTCTGTTGTAAAATCTAATTTCTCTCTTGACACAAAGGGAAATGAGCATGCCAAATGAAGAAACTCATATCTAATTTTTAAAAAGGACTATTAAATATTTTATTTAGTCATGTGTGGGGAAAAAAATGAGTTAAAAAAGGAGGAGGAAGGCTGTAGCTCAATGTCCCAGATCATCTAGCTATTTATTATTTAGAGCTTTTGTAGCCACATAAAGAAGGCTACAGTCACTAATATCACATCTACGAACTGAGGAAACATGATCTGTACATGCGTATATGTATATATATATTCTCCAGTTGTGGGAAAATTCAAGAAGAAAGGACAAAAAAAATTGTGAACAGCTATATCTACTCATAAAACCTCTCATTATTTTAAGATAATTAACAGTAAGAAAGGCTGCTTAATATAAATCCACAAAAAAGGTGGCCAATGTTTTAATAGAGAAAAAATATTGGATGGGACGTTATCTTGAAAAGATTACTAAAATAATGAAAATAAAATTATTCTATCTTATTTTTAACAAAGTTTTTGTTATAATTGCATTATGTATCAATTCCTTGAATGAACAAAGTTCAGTTAATTGTGCATCAATAGTTTAGTGATAGATGATGCTTTTTGTGACAAAATTATTTGATAACCAATATTCCTTTTACTGTCATAAGTCTCATTTCTGCATAAATATTCCAGACATCCTTCAATTTTCCTAAGGATCTCCCTTGATTCTGATACTCAAATATTTTGCTTTTGAATTTATATTATTCTTACTTGGATATTTATGTGTATCATTTAAAAATGTTAATGTCACATATTTACACCACCAACAATCACAGAGAAACTGACCCATAAATATATAGGTATATAACGGTGTGCATATATGCATATATATTGTACATATGTGTGTGTGTATATATATTATTATATTATATATATGTATATATAATATATGCATATATAATATATGTGTATATAATATATATGTGTATATAATATATGCATATATATTATACATATGTGTATATATATATATATATAAAACTGGGGATGTTTGAAAGTCATCTACTTTATAAGTAAACAGCTTCCTCAGTGTATAGACTGGTGTTTAGTACACTTGTACTTTCTTATGCAACCTCATCACTACTGGGGTTGGGATAATGATATTCTGATAACAAGGAATCCCTCCTCCATCATTATACGTGACATTAACTAAGCACTTAACTCTTGAAAGAGACAGAACTACAATGCCATCTGTTAACAGATATGATGTCATATAATCCTCTATGATTTTCAATGTTAAATTAACTATTCAGATAATCAAGTGGCATTTTGTCAGGAAGTTAAAAGAATACAATGTTCTCTCAAAAATTCTTGAGGAAATATATCTTATTACTCCCTTTCACATGGCATATTTCAGATGAACTTATCTATCTGGCTTTAATGACTAATCCTACAAATGAAAAATTATTTTTTTGTATGTCAAACAATGAAAATTGTGTTAATTCTCCAAACTTTGAGCTAATGCTAAGTTAAGCCTGAGACAATTATTATACTGTAAGACTTCAGCATTTTCCTATTTTTATTAACATGAGAGTCTCAAATTGTGTGATGACGTATTTTCCATGTAATACCCAAAACATCCTTTTGAAACTTATTTCAAAGTTAATATTCATGAAAGATTAAAGCTCAATCAATTTAGTAATGTACAGTGGTACTTAATTTTTAGGTTTCTCTCTCCTTGTAAAAAATTCTATTTCTACTATACCATTTCACCCTAGCTTTCAAGGGCTTCTACAACCTGTTGTTAATGTTATTTTCAAGGACTCCCCAGTAGGCATCTTCTAGGATGGCCAGATCTTTCTAATGAATGCCCCTGGAAGACACTTCCCTAACTGACTCTCACTTATATCATTTGATTGAAATTATTCCCCCATATTCCCTCCCCTTCACCAAATTTATGTTTTTAAAGTTAAATTCTGCTGTTTCCATAGACTTTTGTGATTCTACTACCTGCATTTATTTTCATTTTCTCTGACCTTCTATATTTACAATTAGGCTGCACCATGTAGACTAATTTTGTATGTCTTCTATCTTTTGCTGCTCTTTCTCATGTAGTTTTGTTAACTATCTGAGGAATAAGACCATATCTAGTTCATTTGTTCTACATTTTTGAAGGACCCATTGCATTTTTAGTATCCCTCCATTGATTAGATGATCACTTGTGGAGGTCCAGCACAGAGCAACATGTTTGGTAAGTCAATTCCCAATCCTAAAACAAGCTCAAAAGAGAAAATTTTGAGTAAAGCATTGCAGATATAAATACTCTTAATATATGTTAACAAAGCTAGTAAAGTTCATAGGATACTCTTGAATATTTAATGCAAAGAGAACTATTATCTTCCACTCAGAGCTGCATGCAGCAAGAGTTTCTGTTTTACTAATGATTTTGTCAGTTGGAAATTCTATTTTCAATATTTTGCCAATTTGGGGCAAAACTGTATCAATTAATTTACATCAAATTTTGGAGATAGAGATCAATTTTAAATACCCAATAAATGACCCTAGTAGGGGGACTTTTTTGCATTTTACTTACTGAAATTGAGTATCCAATATCTCTTCTTGATGAAGAAAAGAGGGTTTGGAATGTGATTTCTAATGCTTATTAGAAAATCAAAAGAGTGAAGGAAAAAAGAGAACACATACTACCTGCAACGTGCACCTGTGTGTGACTGTATGCTTGTGCGAAGGGATAAAGTTCTAGCCTGTATTCTTGAGGAAAGTATTCAGTGTTCCTTTTTCTGATCTGATCGTGTCCCACAACTGTACAAAGAGGCTTTTAAGAATTAGTACAATTGAACTGACTAAAGGAATCAGGGTCTAATTTTAGAAATCAAAGTTTTTATAAATTTTATGTACTTTATTGTGGAAAATGCTAATGTTTATTATAGATTTACTTTCCAATTACAAGTGACATAACTTTTAAATTATTTCCCCTGTAAGGCTTGAATTCTGGACAATATGCCCCATCCGACAGTTGAGAATGGCAATGAGCCACCACGTCTGTTGATCTTGATTCTTGAAAATTAATATTTTAAGAGCTGACTAGGAAGGAGATGGAAGTGAATAACTAAGAAAAGGTTTGTTTATTTCAGTGTCTATTCTTTGCAGTCTGTTGGTTCCAACAGTAGCACATCACCAAGTTGCTACATTTCAAACACCAGTAGAGCTCTTTCCTTTGTTGTACCTCTTTTCAGGAAAACAAAATTTAAGTAGATTCAGACTCGGCACCCAAAGAGGAAAACATCTTTTTTAGTCCTCTGTAATTCAACACCATGTTTCTTCTTCCTATGAATTCTTCTGTTGTTTCTGATTAGTCAGTTTTTCATGAACAATATATTCCTTTCAGAAGAAATAAGCCAAAGCAATTTATGAAACACAGAACATAACTGCATTAGCACCAGCATGGAAGTGCTTCCTGGTTGATGAATTCAGCTTGTTTAGTTTTTATAACTCATCGTTGTCATCTGAGCTAAAACTACTTCTCCTACTGCTCTCTTTGGAAACTGCAGGGGAAGTGGCAGATAACAGAGGATCTGATCCAAATGGAGATACTGTGTCATCCAGTAGCATGTCATCCAGTCTTTGTTCCTCTTTCAAAGCAGCACTAAATGATAAATCTGTGAAGTGTGACAAAGGATCAGAGAAGGCCATAGCTTGATCATAGAGCTCAGGGCTTGTCCCCTGAGACAGAGCCAGTTGTTGGCAATAGTCCACTGAATTCTGCTCAGGATGAGTCTGCTGTTTGGTGACGTGAGCACCTAAGTCAACAGTGCCAAGGGAAGCCAGGGTTGGCAGACCATGAGCACGAGCTTGTATTTCTAGTTCCTGCAATTTCAAACAAGAATAAATTAGGACTTTGGAAGTGGACTTAACTCTAGAAAATGAACCAGAAACAGAACCAAAATGTTAACAAGCATTCAAAGTGAAGGGTACTGAATTTTATAAATATTCTATGCAAATAATGGGATGCAGTATATTTCTAATACCTGAAAAACAATATTCAGATAAAAAAAAATTCTCCTCCCATTGCTGTTTAAAGGAATACATGACATATAATGGTCCTATGGTGGCTCAGACTATGGTACAGCCATTTGGAGATAGTGAAAAATCTTCCATTTTTTCCTCCTGATTAATTTCTCAGTATAGGACCATTTCATGGAAACAGAGTAAGTGTTTTACCTGGCAATAAGCATGCCTACATAAAAAAAGTCTTGAGAGTTATGAAAACCCATATTTTGATATTTTGTGTCACATAACAGATGAGTCACTTAATATAAATTGGCACAATATGCCTTCAGGCAATGAAATCCATAGCAATATTATTAATGAAATAAAAAGGGGAGGGGAGAATTTAGTGTCCAATAATATCTAGAGAAACAAATGTTCTACTTATTATTTTGGCTGGGATAATATTGTGAATTTATAAGACTAGCTCTGTTTTCTGCATTTTGCAATTAGTTGTTGTCATTCATTACGTATTTTGAAAGCCATCTTGGTGTTGGACTTCTAATCAAAATCTAATTGAAACAACCCAATTCATAAGCATCTAAAAGGCAATACAACTATCCTCAGGAGGAAAAATAATTGTTAATAGGAAAAAAATATATGAGATTAATGAATAGAACTGATGACAGGTAAGTCATACATAAGCTATGGGGCTCATGGCAACATTCTTATAAAAACCTGAATGCGGAGTAGAAGCCGCCTGTTAGCCTGCTCTAATTTCTTCTGTCTGTGTTCTAATTCTCGGGCTCTCTGTTGTTCTTTTTGTAGCCACTTGATGTACTCCACTGATGCTTTTAGAATGGTTCCTTTGTTCCAGCGCATATCACTGTAGAATGGAGAGATAACCTTTTCACAATTGTGCGTGTCAGCAGAATTCATAAGAACTTACAAAATCTTTTACATTAATATGAAATAATGATTTACATGACTATTATTCACTCTTAGATATTATTGCTTCTGAATAGAAATTTTAATAGAATAGTTAAGAAGCCCTTATATAGTAAAATTAATCCCAGAATGAAAATAAGTGTCAAAAGAAAGTAATAAAGTGGCTTTTTTGTGAGAGAGCTAAATGCAATATCATGATTCTACCATTACAGTTTTTATATTTTTAGTGAAAATTGCTTTTATTATTAACTCTGAGATTAAAATCTATGTGCAGTATTTCTGCATTAATGAACTAGGAAATGTACATTACTGAGGACTTAAGCCTAAATTTTTTAAGATCATTTCAAATGTACCAATCTTTTAACCTACTTTCTAATAAGGTTGCTTTTTTGCTTCTAAGAAAAAAAATAAGGCCCCTCCTGAATGGTGCTCCTAAGTGATTGTGATACAAATCAGAGTTTAGCAACATCCCTCTATTCAATAGAGCAAAAATTTCTGGAATCATTAGGCAATTTTTTCTGTACAAAAAGCACCAGTATTTTCTTAATAAACTGGATACCCATTTTTAAATAAATTTAAGGTAAGTAAATACAATTAAATATTACCAGATAATCTTTCAGGCTGTAACATTGAAAAAGCATTTTATTAAAATATTTTTAAGACAGAAGAAATGATGAATCTGTAATAACAGAATAGACTACTGATTTTACCATCTGAAAACATACATCAATGAACTTAATACTGTATGAGAACTGATAATACATGTTGCAAATGAGGCCATATTAATTGCTAAAAGTTAATCAGAGCTGTTGAAAAACTTGATGAATTCTTTATTTAGAATCATGAGATTAAAAAAAATAATGCTGAAAGTAAGCATGTAAGTAAGCATGCAGAGAAATATTTTAAAGACTATATTGCATATATTTTTTGCATATATATTTTGCATATGCAAAAATATATTGCATATATTTTTAGTTTATGTGAGCTATATGAAATATATTGAACTTAATAATGTATATATTTATTAAGTGATCTGAAGTGGGAAAATATAGCTTATGAAAAATCTGACTTGCATATGTCTCACTGGAAGTCCAGATTAGATGGCAATTCCATTAGCTGCAACAAATTAAAAGAAGATATGTTTTTCTACTAGCAGATGAAAATGCTTAGTAGGCCTGGATAAGCTGTCTTCCACTGAAATGAATATTTTCATATACAAACATTACCAGTGTCTGTCTCAGTTTGAAATGCTTTGTCAGGGCTCCAGGGCTATAACAGGTGTTGGTCTTAGCCCATTCATAGTGATTTATCTGGTGGTGGGAAGGCTAGGAAACAGAGGCTGCTTCTGTCATTAAACCAAGAAGATATCTGTAAACTGAAACGTGAACTCCTGAATTAAAACTTTAAGCAGTGGCAGGAGCCTATTACGGCCCTAAGTGTGTTTCATTTCTTCTCATGGGAAGAAAACCTTGAAGGATGGAGGAATAAGATGAGAAGGATAATGCTAGTCAACTTTGAAGTTTAAGGTACTATTAATTTAGCTCTAAGAAAACCTTCAAAATGGTGGTAGAGACCACACAATAGGTCTCCCTACAATTTCAACCTGACGTCATTTGCACTGAAATTTAAAAAGCTCGCTCTATCTTCAAGCCATTTTAATATACATTAAAACATTTTTCAAATGTATTGAGGTGTTTACCTCTCTTCCAAGGTAATTTCAAGCAGCTAGGCATTAAAAACATATATAATATTAACAAATAAAAAGCCATGCCTAAGCAATGAATGTTGATACTGGCTTTTCATTATCTACAAAACAATTCTCCTTAAAGAACTTAAAATTTGGTGGGGAGAGTTAAAAGTTTGAATGCATTCAGGGCTAAAGCAGGTAATAAAAATGCATACATTGGAGTATAAGTGTGGCCAGGCCAAAGCATGGGAAAGGCATGATATGCTGCTGTCACTGTAGGAGCTCCACCCACTCACAAGCATTAAAAAATAGAAGAGGAAGAAGCAAGACACAGTGACGTGTTTGATTTTTCTTGCTTCCATTGACATTTTATGACTTCTGATTTAGAAAGTCTTGTTAAGTCTCATGCAGTACTTCAACTACCATTCTTACACAAAAGCAAGAAGCTCTAACTACAGTGGAAGAAAAAAGACCACATCAATTTAGTAAAAAAAAAAACCTGTCATCTATTTCAGAAATAAAATAGTAGAAAAACAAAAGTTTTTAAAAGAGGAACTGATCTTATTCATTTTAATGGTTGCAGTCACTTACTCAAAAATTAGACTGAAACTTACTAAACTCAAACTGAAATTTTGTTTGATCTTTTTAGATTCACTTTTTGTTAACTTTACCATTGCCACAACATGGTAATGACATTTCTCTGAAGTGTGTCAGAGTGTAATAACATTTCTCTGAACTTGCCTCCTCTATTTTATCCCATACTCTTTCCCCACTAAATTCAATTTCTTCTAACTTTTAAATTATTCATAGTAGCACCTGGAAATTTAACAAATGCATCCAGAATAATGCCATAGAGGAAGTGGCTGCTCTTAGGCCCATGGATCAAGACTTTACTTCTCAGAGCCATTTAAAAAAGCTACATTCTGGATTCAACCAAGGGACTTACACTGGTGAGCCCCGAAGAGGGACACGAGAGGAACACACAAGGCCACAGTGGCCAAGGGATATGTTGAAGTAGAACTGGTATTGGATGTCTGAAGCACCATGGCTGGCAGTGAAGTGGCTTTTCTGCCTTGTTATGTGAAGGGATCAACAAAGAAGTACCTTCTATGACCTAGAGGTCATAGGCTACCTTCTGATACACCTAGGCACTAATTAATGTGTTTTCAGTTAGACCCAAAATAAATATAATTTACCTACATATAACATAATGCAATTAAAATAAATAATTCTCCTTTCTGAAATCCATAAAGAACAGACACTTAAGTATGCTTACAGTGTGGTTTTCTCGTTTATGGTCCTTTTCAGATACGATTCTATGATTAATTGGTTTTCCATTTCTAGACAGGGGCAGGCAAACTACAGTCCGTTGTCTGTTTTTGTCAATATAGTGTCATTGGATATAGTCATGCTCATTCATGTACACATTGCCTATGTCTGCTCTCATGCTACAATGGCAGAGTAAAAAATTGCAACCAAGACTATATGGTCCACAAACTATTTGACCCTTTACAGGAAAAGTTTGCCATCTTCTTTTCTAGAAAATGACTGGGATCTAGAAAGGAGACTTTTTATTATCCAGCTTCTATAAAAATATAGACTAACAATAACCCTCACATAAGCTTTAAAATTAGTACATTATTCTCATACATATTTGAAGGACTTAAGCCTAAATTTTTTAAGATCATTTCAAATGTACCAATCTTTTAACCTACTTTCTAATAAGGTTGCTTTTTTGCTTCTAAGAAAAAAAATAAGGCCCCTCCTGAATGGTGCTCCTAAGTGATTGTGATACAAATCAGAGTTTAGCAACATCCCTCTATTCAATAGAGCAAAAATTTCTGGAATCATTAGGCAATTTTTTCTGTACAAAAAGCACCAGTATTTTCTTAATAAACTGGATACCCATTTTTAAATAAATTTAAGGTAAGTAAATACAATTAAATATTACCAGATAATCTTTCAGGCTGTAACATTGAAAAAGCATTTTATTAAAATATTTTTAAGACAGAAGAAATGATGAATCTGTAATAACAGAATAGACTACTGATTTTACCATCTGAAAACATACATCAATGAACTTAATACTGTATGAGAACTGATAATACATGTTGCAAATGAGGCCATATTAATTGCTAAAAGTTAATCAGAGCTGTTGAAAAACTTGATGAATTCTTTATTTAGAATCATGAGATTAAAAAAAATAATGCTGAAAGTAAGCATGTAAGTAAGCATGCAGAGAAATATTTTAAAGACTATATTGCATATATTTTTAGTTTATGTGAGCTATATGAAATATATTGAACTTAATAATGTATATATTTATTAAGTGATCTGAAGTGGGAAAATATAGCTTATGAAAAATCTGACTTGCATATGTCTCACTGGAAGTCCAGATTAGATGGCAATTCCATTAGCTGCAACAAATTAAAAGAAGATATGTTTTTCTACTAGCAGATGAAAATGCTTAGTAGGCCTGGATAAGCTGTCTTCCACTGAAATGAATATTTTCATATACAAACATTACCAGTGTCTGTCTCAGTTTGAAATGCTTTGTCAGGGCTCCAGGGCTATAACAGGTGTTGGTCTTAGCCCATTCATAGTGATTTATCTGGTGGTGGGAAGGCTAGGAAACAGAGGCTGCTTCTGTCATTAAACCAAGAAGATATCTGTAAACTGAAACGTGAACTCCTGAATTAAAACTTTAAGCAGTGGCAGGAGCCTATTACGGCCCTAAGTGTGTTTCATTTCTTCTCATGGGAAGAAAACCTTGAAGGATGGAGGAATAAGATGAGAAGGATAATGCTAGTCAACTTTGAAGTTTAAGGTACTATTAATTTAGCTCTAAGAAAACCTTCAAAATGGTGGTAGAGACCACACAATAGGTCTCCCTACAATTTCAACCTGACGTCATTTGCACTGAAATTTAAAAAGCTCGCTCTATCTTCAAGCCATTTTAATATACATTAAAACATTTTTCAAATGTATTGAGGTGTTTACCTCTCTTCCAAGGTAATTTCAAGCAGCTAGGCATTAAAAACATATATAATATTAACAAATAAAAAGCCATGCCTAAGCAATGAATGTTGATACTGGCTTTTCATTATCTACAAAACAATTCTCCTTAAAGAACTTAAAATTTGGTGGGGAGAGTTAAAAGTTTGAATGCATTCAGGGCTAAAGCAGGTAATAAAAATGCATACATTGGAGTATAAGTGTGGCCAGGCCAAAGCATGGGAAAGGCATGATCT